AGGGGTCTTGACTTTATTTGCCAGACACACGGCACTGAACACACATGCAGAGGTGAACACAGAACACACATGCAGTGGTGAACACAAGACAACATTAGCATGACCAGTAATCCTACAAGCTGTCATCACTTCCCTCCTGACTGTTCTCCTCACTGTCTTCCTCTCTGTCAGACATGGTAGCTGATGATAGGCCTACTTCTTTCTCTCTGGTTGAGTCTGTGATTAGCTGCTTGCATCCACAAGTCAACAGCTAGTTTTGGGTCGAAAGTCTCTGTTGTCATCTTAGACAAGTGGATGTAATCAAATAAGTATGTGAACATAACCAATAACCTACCATAGCCAATAACAAATGAATGTAACTTATTTTATTTGTGTTGTTCATTCATATCTTATTTTACCTTAACATTTATTTATGCATTTTTTTTTATCTCTCCAGTTTTAAAGGATATTTTTGGTTACTGTCTTATACATTGGAATTATTTGAAACCTGTTTATCCCAATAATTATAAAGGAGTGCCTTGGAAATATGTGTTTACATAAATTGTGACCAAACCGTTTGAACTTAGACTAAGAGTCCTTACCTCACTGAGCTGTAGTTAACTTATCAGCCTCTCAGTCTGACTGGAGAGGACTCTCCCTCCACATTATTGTAGAAACATCTTCTTCTTATATCCGTTAGAGCAGCTAGCACGGCACCATATTCTAATAACAACAGCGCTGGTACCGGTGCACTATCCCTCTCTCCCTCGCATTTTGGCTGTGAGCTGCGGGCGCCAGATAAGCCAACATCCCCCATTTTCATCACTTACAGCGTCCATCGTACAGGGCAAATGAAACATGTAACAGGGGTGAAAAGGGTGTTACATTTACTTAATTATGAATATTGTTACATCAAGGCCGAAAATTAGGATGAGCCCCAACGGTCAAAATGTTTTTTTCCCTCCCAGAACTGCCAGCGCAGTGACTCCACAGATCTGGCGCCCTAGGCGAACATCTAGCCAGTGCTACGGGCCGGCCCTGAGTTCATATCATGGTTCATATGCAACTCGCAAATATCTTTCTTTCTCTCTCTTCTCTCTCGCTCTTCTCTCTCTCTCATCTCTCCTCTATTTTCTCTTCTCCCTTCTCTCTCTCCCTCTCTCAATGTTGGTACGCAAATGCGCTTTGTTTCAAATGAACCGGTGCTCTTTTTTTGCACCAGTTATGTGCAGCCCTGCTTATAGGCCTACATCTGTTTCCTGTTTCCTCACTGATGGCAAAAAAAGTCCGACATTATACGATTTAAAATAAAAACAATAATCGTGGCTTGATATTGAGTAAGAAAATGTTTTTATGAACCCCACAGCTTCCGGTCTTCCAAGACCCGACCGGACAAAAATACGTGGTGCAGGCACGAAACACAGTACCAATAGAAATACATTGCTTTTAAAATCGTTCTGTGTGACACAAAAAAAAGGTGAAAATCTTGTTGGTGAACACGAATCAATAGATTAAATGTCGTGACTATAACACGAAATGCCGTGTGACTGGGTTGAAATATAACATGTCTTGTCTCAGAATACACTTCACAAAAACAAAAATGTCTAACTAGGTTAAAAGACCTATGGTTACAAACCACAAAAAACACATTCCAAGAACAACAATATTTTTAAGAGACACACGGCTAACGTTGCGGGTTTAGCTTATAGCTGGGGTTAGCTAATCATAGCTGGGTTACATTAGCTCAACATAGCTAACATTAGCTAGTGTAACCCAGTCAGTAGGCAGCATTCAGCTAGCTGACTATACAATATGAGAAAGTATTCTAAAGTGAAACAATAGCCTAAGTATATTACAAAGTGTTTTATGAGTTGTTAACTTATTTATATACATTTTAGTGATTATGAATACTATTATATTCTATACTGTTACTTTGTCTCAAAAAGAATACAGATGTGGAAATATGTCAGCATTCAATCAATGTTAAGTAACACAATTCGGAGATTTATGCAAATTAGTGATAGGCTGATTATATCCCTTAACGCCTCATGATGTAATGTTATTTTTCTATTAGACTGACAGCTTGTCAACTCGTTGGGATACACTTCGTCACACCCAGGGCCGGTTTTTGGCATAGGCAACTATAGGCAGTCGCCTAGGGCGCAAGATCTGGGGGGGGCGCTGCGCTGGCAGCTCTGGGAGGGGAAACATTTTTTTTGACCGTTGGTGCTCATCCTAATTTTTGGCCTTGATGTAACAACATTAATAATTAAGGAAAGGTAACACCCTTTTCACCCCGGTTACACTTTTTATTTGCCCTGTACGATGGGCACTGTAAGTGATGAAAGTGGGGGATGTTGGCTTATCTGGCGCCCGCAGCTCACAGCCAAAGTGCGAGTGAGCTCGGGAGCGAGGTACCGGCGCTGTTGTTATTAGCATCTGGTGCTAGCTGCGCTAACGGATAGAAGAAGAAGATGTTTCTACAACAAAGATGGAGGGGAGCTCTTTCTTGACAGACTGAGAGGCTGATAACTACAGCTCAGTGAGGTAAAAGACTCTCTCAGTGTTTAGATAGTTAACTTTAGTCTAAGTTATCTCAGTGGGTCTCAAACGTTTTGATCACAATTTATGTAAACACATATTTCCAAGTTACTCCTTTATAATTATTGGGATAAACAGGTTTCAAATCATTTCAATGTGTAGGAGAGTAAACCAAACATATTGTTTAAAACTGGAGAGATAAAAAGCTAATTACTAAATAAATGTTAACTAGGTAAAATAAGATATGAATGAACAACAAAAAATGTCAGCTAAAATCTCGCCTAGGGCATCAAATTGGCTAGAACCGGGCCCTGGTCACACCCCATTTACTGTACATTAACAACTTCAGGTTCAGTGTGTGCTACAGGCGTCAGTCAAGGCATCCCTACTGATGTGACGTGACGTGACTGAATTGTCTTGAAATGTTTCTTTGTTACAGAGGATCCCTCATTTAATCTTCTTCCACATTCTCATTTGAACTTGCTTTTATTCTCAGCTCTCCAACAGAAAAGTCAGCCTACATTTTCAAGACTTCGACAGATCGTTCCTCAAAGCTTTGTCAATAATCAAACCTGAAATACCACCTGAGATTTCAGCTTTGACAGAAGCCTTGTCTTCGGATGGAGAACATAAATCAGGTAATGTGCAGCCTTTCTACAGTAGCTGTGGCCCTGTGGTTTCATCATCCAGGCTGTTCAACATTTAATATGATGGTCCATCACATGAAAGTCCTTGCCTCAGTCTGATTTGAATCAAACCACTCCTGATGCCTTACACTCTCCTGACTCACTTAATATCTTTGTCAAAAGCAGAGCCCATCAGGGACCAGGATGAACTTCGCGATACGGTTAATTAGCTACAAAAGTGAACAAATGCTTGCTGACAATGAGGATGTCTCATCTCATCCAATCTGACAGGCCTCAGTTAAAGTGCAGAAGCAACAGTATGGGCTTATAATAAAGTGCACACCTGCTACCACAAGACACATATTAACTCTTATAAGTGAGTAGTATCTTTTTCTCTCACCATCTCATGATGCCTTTCACTCCAAAACATATGCATTCACAGCTTCAACAACAAATTACTTTCTTGTAAAACAAATCCTTATCATAAATCAGAGTCACAACAAGGCATCCTATAGATTTCCCCCAAAAATGTTGATGCTGCCACACTGCACTCAATGGCCTCAAATTCCGCTTACTCACTGATATTTCTGAACATAAAAGTGAAATACAAACATGATCTTATATAGCAGCTTGCACTCCCTCCAGACGGACTAAACTCACAGCAATAACTGAACCTCTTCACTGTACCAGACAGTTTGAACAACCTCACTTACTAAAGTCTTCAGATTTCAATATGGAGCTCTTGTACTGCATTAAGTTCTGCAGACATAGAGAAATCGCTCTAATCTGTTATGTAATGCAACTTCAGGTTAATGTGCAGGTTCAAGCATTGACATCTGAGTGTTTTTGACCCGTTTTCAGTGGGTGAGGATGAGAGCTAGTGAATTACATACATATTCGAGATTTTCAGATAAAAACCTACATTAAAGTCTGGAAATAGGTTCAACCTTTCATCTGTTTGAAGTTCATTAAACCTATAGGCAACACCTACTGAAGTGTTACTGTAAGTCCACTTACCTCCCTCTCATTGGAAATGTGCAATATACTGTATGTGTGACGTATAATTGTCTATTACGACCCTGTGCTGAAACAATGGACGGGACCATGCTGATCTAGCAAGCTTCTGGCTATCATCGCTCACCGGCCACTAGCAAACCGACTTTAGACTGTAGATGGAATGACTCATGAATGAGTATTTTGGTTATTTTTGGTCTTCGTACATTTTGGATCCATACACCAAGCCAGCAGAGGCTGAGGCTCAGTGGGAGTGCCCTAATGATCGAAATTGAGTTGTAAATAAAACCTAGCTCTGCCGCAACAAATCAAATGCGCTCATTACTTGTTCATGGGCTCAGGGGTTACATCGAGAGTCTGAATGAGAGCCATGAGCGGTGGTTCTCAGAAGTTAACCTAACTTTAATACAACAACACAGGCGGAAGCAAGGTTTTGGATAGATTCCCTATTGCAAACAGAGTAACTCCCTTCCCTTTTGAATAATTCAGAAGAAACAATTCCTTCGCAAAGTAAGCATTGGGGTCATTGGTCAAAGCCACTTTGGTATTTGTTTACTATATGAATCCTGTTACACTCAGGGAAACTTTGCGAAAGCAGGCGGTGGACTACGCAGAACAAGGCCAACATTCAAGAAGGTGAGAAACAAACTCTGTAAGACTCCTAAAATCCTGTTTCAAATGACAGAGCATCAAAAACAGGAGGACATCACTCTAGATCTGCTCATTACTTGTAACATTTCAAAGATGTTAGACTTACCAGGTATCCGGCACACTGTTTCTGAGCTCCACTCTCGATCCTCGGAAACTGACAGGACTAATAACCACCAAGACATCCTGTCCTTTTGGTTTACATTTTATTAGACAAGACAATGATCTGTAAAACATGTACAATAGGTTTCCCAAAAAGCATACAAAATGATAATCGATCTGTGATACACAAAATAAATGAAAGAAAATCGATCAACACCCAAAAATATATGATTACATCTCCAGAGTGTGTGTGTGTGATTTTTTTAGCATTGTCATCCTGGATGTCAAACTCATCATGTGTTGGTGTGTTTTCCCCCTTTCATCATCTGTACTACATGTCATGTGAGAATTGAAAAGCTAAAAATAACATAAAGAAGGCACGTCTGGCTCCGTGATGAAAAGCTGTGATGACAATGGATGAAAGAGAGAGATGGGAGAGAGGGGGGAAATAAAAAAAACGAGGGCAAATGAGGGAGGGGATCGAATTCAGACCGAACAGCATCATTGAGGACATTCACAGCTTGTGTTCCTGGCATCGAACCCATAACGGGGGACGGAGTAAAGCACCTTGGCCAGAATGCAACACTGCATCTGTTACAGATGGGATGGACCCGGGGCCTTGTTTTAACTGCTAATGCATCTGAAATCACTGCAGTTCTCCCACACCACCATCTTAAACAAATACCGCCTGTAAACTCACTCGGAGTTAATACTTCTTTGTAATTTCCGTTTAGTTGGCAGCTTCATGACTTAATTCCTGCCAAAGTCAAGATTGTAATTCAAGATATCTCCAAATGACGCATCTCTATCAAACGTAAGGCTCTGGGTAAAACTGAACGATCCCTCACATGAGACGGAGGAGCTGAAACTCGATACTGAATGCTTGCTGAGTCATTGGTCTCTGTTTTAATGGTTCCCAATGATTGTCTTTTTCTCTATGCTCAATCTATCAACAGCAGCCCGCTGGCAAACACATTAGACACATTAATCCACAAAAGAATAAATATTCAATAATTTCAGGGAATTCATTTGCAAACAAAAGAGCAAAGCCATCACATTTAATTCCACTTTTCACAGGATTTGTTCTCTAACAGGGATTTTCATACATGATTGTCTGACACTGCACCGTATAAGGGAGTCGGAAAGACATTCACGTGTCATGAGCTCAGACTCGTCTCACAAAACTGGGAACAGTATATCTTCCTTTGGTCCATGCAGCATGCAGACATTCCCTTTTAAAATCTCAGAAACCAAAAAAAACTGAAATAAAGAAACTTTTCCACCGTTAGCCATCATAGAAGTCCCTACTTATCCTGCATCTGTCCTGAACCAAATATTGCAACTAAACCAACCAAAGAATATCCAGTTAGCATCTAACATGAAGTTACTGTGTAGCATGAAGGGGTGCTTCTATAATGACAAAAATATAAACAAACAAGGAAAACTTCTCCACCAAAGCTAGCCACGATTGGATATTAACTGATGATTGTCATACGTCAGAAAAAATTAAATATTGCATTTTGTGCCGACCTGGTAAAACGGGAAAGCTGTGATAAGAAATGTCTACTTTTTCATGTCGGAATCTTTTTAGACTGTCAACATTTCCTTCCTCTTATCATATCATTCTATTAATCTGGTTTTATGTCTCAGTTTGTGTCTTTCCACCTGTGTACATCTTTAATATCTTTCATACAAATGCAGTGTACCTGACCATGTGCTTTTTTGGGTGATTTTTACTAGTGCGGTTAACCTCGTCACAAATGTATCCTGAGGTTACATGAGATACATTTGTTGTTTGTCTCAAGGTCTTTAGTAAGAACTCGAGAGGAGACGAATGATTGCACCTCTACGTGAGATTCCGATTCCATGCTGACTGTATTTTCAGAACAGCGCTAAAAACAAAAACATGAAGCCTGCAGAGACAAGACCAAAAAAAAAAGCCCCCGCTCTCACAACATATATTGGACTTGTGCTCGTGGTGTGCGTAAATTTGACAGATGCATTGGGACGGAGATTAAAAAAACAAAACAGCTTTTCACATTTTTTGACATTCAAAATGTTTGTACAAATGGAGAAGATTATTCTGCAAACAGCCTTGGGAAAGTGTTTCAACGAGCCACCGATCATGCCATGCAGATTATTATGAACAAGGAGTAAAATCCACACCATTTCATTTGATTTTTTTCATATATTCAAATAAAAAGTTTTAGTATTAAGTGACAACCTCAAAGTATACCCGTGAAAAGTAAAATAGTAATATACACTTTGTTTTTTTAAATCGCTCAATTTGACATTTAACAAACTTCCATTCCCCTGTACAGAGGCACTGATAACACCTACACTTGTTTATTTTTTTGTATGTGTACACATTTCACCAACAATATATTATTCATCAATATTATTTACACAGTTTGTTCATCATTTGGTACCATATGACATCTATGAATACCACATTTAGTTTCAGCCCGGCACAGCTGTTGCTCACCTTTTTCTCTTTTTTTGAGGACAAAATGCAGAATGCAAATTTTCTACATCAGTGAAATGTTCTGCATATATCAGTGTGTGACCATTTTAAATCGTCTAAAATGGCTGTAATGGCAGTACTTTGTCTAATACATGCTGAGCATTTTCACACTCAAATTACATTCCTATAACGTTTTCTCAGCCTTATTACTGTGATTTATTAGAGGACTGAATACAAACATTGGTGTTTTGTGTGTGTGTGTGTGTGTGTGTGTGTGTGTGTGTGTGTGTGTGTGTGTGTGCGTAAACCCTGTGGTGTGTGTGGTCAGCTGTAAACTGTCTTTCATCTGCCCAAGACAAACAGCCTTACCAACTCTTGCAAATATGAATCATGGAATCTTAATCATGTAATGTTGCCAGGTTACAGAGCTTCAAAAATATGTCACTTCCCCTTCGTTAACACTAACGAGCCGCCCTGCGCTCCGGGGACAGACAAGGCTCTTTGACAACATAATAAAGTGGAATGTTTCTTCATTGGACTGTAGCCTTGGCAAGAGTGGGAAAGGCTTATGTTTCGTTTTTCTTGATTATTGTAAAGTTGAAAAATAACTGAAATACTTTCAAACATCTTGAGATATTAATTGAAGCTGCTTGGAGAGCCAGAACTAATTGGGAGCAAATGTAAACCCAATCAACAGTTGATTAAGAGTACTTTAAAACAATTAAAAGATGGTATCTCCTTTTCTGTAGTACAAGCCTGATGTTTTATCTTCATCATGAGAGGAAAATATGTTTAAATCACTTTCCCCAGCTGTAAACAGAAAAGCCCAGAAGTGGTAGCTTCACTTAAAAACATTAATTTTGCAATGGGGACAGTGTATGTTCATAGCACAGCATGTTGCATATAATATTTCATACTGAATTTCCTTGAAAGCTGTTCTCTCGCATTTTTTTGGCTGAAATTCAGATTGGCAAGCATCACACAGGCAGAGAGAGATGTGTTAATTAGCTGAGGGGAGTGTTCCAGTTCACTTACATTGCAACATCTCTCAACCGCATAATTAACATATTGTCAAAGACCACCTCATCACATGCTCTGCACAAATGATTTCAATGGCTACCTGGCTTGTCAGATATCATGAACTACACTGTGTGTGCAGCCTAAATAGCTTTGAAAATGTTGATACTTTGTACTTTAACCAGATATTTGAAAAGTATTTTTTCCCCCTTGCTAACATTACTATTTCTCAGTTGGCTTCACCAGAAAGGAAAACATTGTTAAACACTTTTTTAATGGAAGATGCAAAACACCCATACAGTAACACCCTCTAAATATGCCCAGCAAAGAAAAACAATTAAAAATCACCTCATGTAGGATAAAACGTAACATTCTTGAATATTAGATGATATTTTTAATGTGGAAACCAAAGTGCACGCCTTTGCTTTTCATGCAAATGTAGGTGACCTGGAACTTGCCCATTCGCCTGTGATGAGGTGCTGTGGTTGCCACAGTTACACATACATGGCGGGAGATACGAAGCTCTCGCCGCGAGAGATGTTGGCAGCCGGTTGGTCGTGATTGAAGTCGTTCCCACGGAAACCGTCGTTGGCGTGGTCTTTGAGCTCGTTGACCTTGTCATATTTGACCGAGTCGTCCAGGACCTTGGGGGCCCCGCCGTTCAGGGCCCCGCCGGACTCCTCGTCAAGGTTCTGAAAGACGTCACAAATTATATTATTTTAAATATAAATTGAATAAATCAACTCAGAATCAAATAACTGTAGTATTTAAGGGTTGGGATATTTGGTTTTGTGATGGTAATATAAGATGTTAAGCAAAAATATGCAATAGAAAGAAAAAATAAATCACATGAAGACTTATATAGATATATACATGACAGTATCAAAACTCCTTTAAATACCAGAAGAATTATAGGATATTAAGGATAGTGCAAAGGACTTAAAAGTTACATAACAAGCCTTATATGAATATAATTGAGTCCCTGCAACACAGTGTCTATCTGTCGAAACAGATTTGGAGGCATCTGTGACAGAAAGTGAGTAAAGACATGCTTTAGTGTTGGTGCAGTGGGAGCTACCGTGACAGGCTCCCCCCCTGTGGTCTCGTAGTAAACCTCTGGGCGGAGGGGGAAGGTCTCTGTGGCCGTGGGAGGCTCCGACGGCTTGTTCAGCTGCATGCACAGAAAGCACATCAGCACAGGAAAGAGAACCACTCAGAAACAATGCAATACACAGGAGAGGAGAAGAATTGCAAAGTTTACGTTAACTACATAAGAGAGCTGTGGACTAGAGTCTTAGAGGCCTCCAAAGACCGATGCATGCGGTTCATTTAATGTGATGCACTGTAAAAAGTACATCCTGGCTTTCCAGTGTCCTGAACAAAGCACAACTTATTTAAATTCTGGGAGTCAAGTGAACACATTTATAAAGTTGTTCCTGTTGTTAGAATATTGCCTTTTTTTGTTTTTTATATTTTAACCCATGGCATCTGTGGGTAATTTGTCAAAGCCAACTGTTTTATATCCACATAAATGATGATATTTCATGAAAAATCTCATTGTATAATTATTTTTTAAAAAGCACAATATCAAGGTTATTTGATCAGTAATGTTGTTTTTTATTTTCTTTGTGTCGCCCTGTTCTCCATGCATCCTCTAAGATATGTTTTCATTTGTTGTCTTCTTTAACATTAGAGAAAGAGTCTTAGATATTTGCTGTTGTTGCCTTACCATAACTACAGACAGGAAGACAGAAGTGAAGCCCGCTCTGTCACAACAGTTTATTATCGTTTGAATATAATTTATAGCGACATTGAATTCAGAAAAACTCCCCTCAGACAGCTTTGAAGGTAAAAATGTTGAATGTTTGTTTATTTGAGAGACCTCATGACTTGCAGTTTTCTTCTTTCTTTTGAAATGCTTGATTTGGATTTAGAAAACACCCGAAATAAGTAAGCATTTATTTTAATCACGATCCACAGATGGTGCCTTTCAAGACCGTTAGTAGATGTCTAATAAACATTCACTCTTGAACCCCTTGAACCCTGTCCAAATAGGCATTCAGACATCTTTATACAGCTAATCAACATTAAATTGCAGAGTTTGAGCCTCATTACATAATGTGTTAGGAAGACAACACAATGTGATGGAATGAGGGGGAGGAGAGGAGGGCTCTAATGGAGCTCTTTACAAACCCAGCTAATTATTTCGACACACTTAAGCCAACTCAGATCTCCAATCAATAGCCATTAGCCCCATTATGGCTGCCCAAATGGACTGTGTGTGTGTTTGTGAGTGTGGAATATAATCGCAGTGACAATAAAGATTGATTTGAGTTCATGTCAGCCACTCACCATCTCTGTCGAGCTGCCTGCCTTCACAGGGGGAGGGGGCTTGTGCTTGGGGGGGGCCCTGATAGGAGAAAAGACAAAAATAATGTGGTATTGATCGCTGCTTCGTTAGGACGTCAGATTTCATTTGTATAAAAACAAAGAAACAAGTTGAGAGCACGGATATAGAAAGCATTGGAATATTGAGCTCCAAAGACATCCCATTGGGGTGAAATTCAATACAGACTGTATTTATGAATCCTTCAAGTGGTGAGTTTTGTGTGTGGTTTAAAAGTTTTTGCACTTGAAGTAGGAAGCTGTGATTGAATTGTGGAGTTATATTTGTACTGAAAGAGAAATCTGTATTTAGAGTAATAAATGAAAACGCTTTTATGTGCCCACCGTGACAAGTTGCTAGTTGAACTGGAGACATTGAATGAACAATGTGCATCACTTTACACCAGCTCTGGGATTCATGAAAAAGCCTCATGTATTATGTAACAAAATAACAGTGCAGCTGTTCTTATCGAATCAACCCCTACCAACTTTAGTTTTATGAGTCAGGAAAGAATGCATAAGAAAGGGGGTGGAGTTGCTATTTTGTTCAATGATTCCATTCAATGCAGGAAGACATCTTATGGGAACTTTGCTTCTTTTGAATATGTGGCCCTTCAGCTGAAATGCTCCTCTCGAGCTCTGTTCCTAAATATCTATAGACCACCCAAATACTGTGCAAGCTTTTTTGATGACTTTACTGAACTGCTGTCTATAGTGTGTATTGACTTTGACCGTCTAGTCATTGTTGGTGATTTTAACATCCATGTTGACAACCCCCAGGACAGAGGGGCTAAAGAACTGTTTTGTGTTCTTGATAGCTATGGACGGACTCAGCATGTGACGGAGCCCACGCACAATAAGGGGCACACTCTGGACTTAATTATCTCAAAGGGTCTGAATATCTCTAAGGTTGTGGTGACTGATGTTGCACTCTTTGATCATTCGTGTGTGTTCTTTGAGAGCTCTATTTCTGTTCACAAAAATGTTCAAAAAGAGGTAACCACAAAGCGATATTTAACTGAAAATACTAGGGAAATGTTTACTCAGAATGTTTCTTCCACACTTGCCCCTGCTAACATCTCAGTAAATGAGCTAGTAGATCATTTTAATTCAAAAATTAAAAATGTTATAGATGCCATTGCTCCAATTAAGGTAAAGGAAGTGACTGGAAAGAAAATATCTCCATGGAGAAAGGCCATGACCGTGAGAGCAGAAAAAAGAGAGTGTCGAAAAGCTGAACGTAGGTGGCGAAAAACAAATCTCCAGGTTGACTTTGAAATCTATCAAGAGAGACTTGGCCTTTATAATTTGGAATTGAAAAACGCACGACAGTCTTTCTTCTCTGACATCATTACCAAAAACAAAAACAATGCACGTGCCTTGTTTGCTACCGTCGACAGACTAACTAACCCTCCAGTGTCAGTAGCCTCTGAATTTCTATCCACCAGGGCCTGCAATGATTTTGCCTCCTTCTTCACTGACAACATTCAGAAAATCAGACAAGCAGTCAGTGCCTCTGCATCAGGTACAGCAAATGTGTTGTCCCTATGTCCACCTAATATCAATTCAAACACCATGACACAATTCCATCAGATTAATGATAAAAACCTAGAGGACATTATTCAACTTCTGAAATCCTCCTCCTGCTGCCTTGATATTATTCCAACAGGATTTTTCAAAGATGTTTTTCGTTGCATGGCCTCAGATCTACTTCATATAGTAAACAAATCTCTTCACTCAGGACCTTCGGAAACAGTTCTAAATTGGTTTGAATCCTACTTGAAGGACAGAAACAACTTTGTTTCTATAGGTAAATACACATTGACAAATATGACATGTGGGGTACCTCAAGGCTCCATCTCGGGGCCTCTTCTCTTTAACATCTACATGCTACCACTGACTCAGATAATGAAAAACAACAAAATAAGTTATCATAGCTATGCGGATGACACACAAATGTACGTAAAAATTTCACCAGGAGACTATGCTCCAATTCAAACACTGAGTAAGTGCATTGAACAAATCAATGACTGGATGTGTCAGAACTTTCTCCAATTAAACAAAGATAAAACTGAGGTAATGGTTTTTGGAGCCAAGGCAGAATGTATAAAAGTCAGCGCTGAGCTTCAGCCTGCAATGTTCAAAACAACAGATAAAGCCAGAAATCTAGGTGTAGTCATGGACTCTGACCTGAGTTTCAACAGTCACATTAAAACAGTTACTAAATCAGCCTACTATTACCTAAAGAACATATCTAGGATTAAAAGACTAATGTCACAGCAGGATTTGGAAAAACTTGTCCATGCTTTTATCTTCAGTAGACTGGACTACTGTAATGGTGTCTTTGCAGGTCTCACTAAAAAATATATTAGAAAGCTGCAGCTAATTCAGAACGCTGCTGCTCGAGTCCTCACTAACACTAAGAAAGTGGATCACATCACTCCTGTTCTGAAGTCCTTACACTGGCTTCCTGTGTGTCAAAGAATAGATTTCAAAAATACTGCTGCTGGTTTATAAAGCTTTGAATGGTTTAGGCCCAAAATACATTTCTGACCTCCTGCTAAATTATGAACCATCCAGATCTCTCAGGTCTTCAGGGACGGGTCAGTTTTCTGTCCCCAGAGTCAGAACTAAACATGGTAAAGCAGCGTTCAGTTATTATGCTCCAAATATCTGGAACAAACTCCCAGAAACCTGCAGGTCCGCTGCAACTCTGACTACTTTTAAATCCAGACTAAAGACTTTTCTTTTTGCCGCTGCTTTTAATTATTCACATCTTAAACTGCACTGTGTAGTGCCGTGAAAAGAGAGTCGGAGGCGGTGTATTAAGAATGGAGTTCCAATCTTTATTATCCATTACTTTCAGAGAGGTTAACACATGCACTGCTCTGCCTGATGAGCTAGCAGGAATGGCAGCTAAAGCTACAGGTGTTCCCCACTAAAGGGTCCGTGTGGTAACACAATAAGCAAGGTGAATTATGTCCAATAACGTGTCACCACACAAACCCCCCAGAATTCACACATAAACAAAATCAGCATGGCGGGGAGGAACGACACGCCGACCCCCCGACTCCTGAGCACGGGAGTCGGAAAAGTGACTCCCGCCTGTGCGGCCCCCGGAAGGGGAGGGACCGGAACAACAGGTCTTCAATCCGTGACAGGGGGCGGCCCCGTCGCGGGGGGCGGCCCCGTCGCGGAGGTCGAGCCAGCACCACAGGCTGGTCCAAGTCCAGGTGAGCAGCCTTCACCCAGTCCACCGAGACGTGCTCGGCCTTGCCACCCAGGTCGACCACCAGGTGCTTGTCCCCGTGCTCCAAGACCCAGAAAGGCCCATCATAAGGGGGCTGCAGGGGGCCTCTGTGCGCATCGTGCCGGATGAACACGTGCTCCGCCGAGCGGAGCTCTGCGGGAACTTGGGACACCTGAGTACCGTGCTGAGTAGTAGGGATCGGAGCAAAGGCCTCAGCGACGTCACGCAGGAAAGCCCGCTGGGCCGACGCCGACCAGGGAGCCGATGCATTTGGGAGGAAATCCCCCGGAACTCTCAGCGGCTGACCGTAGACCATCTCCGCTGTAGAACACTGCAGATCTTCCTTAGGTGCGGTCCTCAGGCCCAGCATCACCCAGGGCAGCTTGTCGACCCAGTTACCGTCCGTAAGGCCGGCCTTGAGGGCCGCCTTCATGGAGCGATGAAAGCGCTCGCAGAGGCCGTTAGCCTGAGGGTGGTAAGCGGTAGTCCTGTGCAGCTTAACCCCAAACCGCCTGCCACAGCGTTCTAGAGCTCGGACGTGAACTGAGAGCCCCTGTCTGAGGAAATGTCTGACGGGGTGCCAAAACGACACACCCACGTTGCAATGAAGGCCCGGGCAACGTCTGCGGCTGATGTCGAAACGAGCGGAACCGCCTCCGGCCAACGGGTCGTTCTGTCCACCATGGTGAGGAGGTAGGAAAACCCCTGAGAGGAAGGCAACGGACCAACCAGGTCAATGTTGACGTGATCAAACCTCCTCTCAGGCACCAGGAAACGCTCCAACGGGGCCTTCGTGTGGCGGTGCACCTTAGCGCGTTGACAAGCCACGCACTCCCTGGCCCAAGTCCTCACGTCCCTTTTCAGTCCTTGCCAAACGAACTTCGCCGCTACCAAACGCACCGAAGGTTTAACGCCGGGGTGTGACAGGCCGTGCACAGCCTCGAACACAGGACGCCTCCAGCTGGCAGGGACGACAGGCCGCGCCAGGCCCGTAGAGACGTCACACAGGAGAGTAATGCCCGCGTCGCCGAACACCACGTCCTCCAAGCGCAGCCCCGCGCTCTCCACCTTCAGGGCCTGGACGCCGGGATCTGTGACCTGGTCTGCCGCCATGCGAGTATAGTCCAGGCCCAACTGGACGGCACCAATGACGACCCTGGAGAGGCAATCAGCAACCAGGTTCGACTTGCCAGCCACGTGCTTAATGTCCGTAGTGAACTCCGATATGTAGGACAGCTGCCGCTGCTGACGTGCCGACCAAGGCTCCGCCACTTTTGACATGGCGAAGGTGAACGGCTTGTGGTCGACAAACGCCGTAAATTCACGGCCTTCCAGCATGAAACGGAAGTGCCGCACGGCCAAATAAAGTCCGAGGAGCTCCCGGTCAAAGGCGCTGTATTTGCGTTCTCTAGGCGTCAGCTGGCGGCTGAAAAAGGCGAGCGGCTGCCAAGCGCCCTCCACCCACTGCTCGTGCACTGCGCCGACCGCGTAGTCTGACGCGTCCGTGGTGATGGAGATGGGAGCCGTAGATGATGGGTGTGCCAGCAAAGCCGCCTGAGCCAACGCGGTCTTGACCTCAGCAAAAGCGCCGTCCGCCTCTGCTGTCCAGTCGATCTCCTGGACGGGGGTCTTGCCTTTCAACGCTTCATACAGCGGCCGCATGATGTGTGCGGCCCGGGCGATGAAACGGTGGTAGAAAGTCACCATCCCCAGAAACTCACGGAGCGACCGGGCTGTGAGCGGGCGAGGAAACGCCGCAACAGCCTCCACCTTCG